CCTGCTGAATTTCTGATTACCTGTGAGAATTAATTGGATAGATTCTGATGGCAAAGTTTTCAGTATTACAAGATTTTGTTCACAAAAGTACTATCCCTTCTTCCGTAGATAAATATGAGATGTACAGTTTCAATTGTCCTAGCTTTAAGTACAACTTTATCCATTCAGTAAAAAAGAAAGGTTAGCAGCATCCCATGGACTGTACCTGCTCACGACTGATTTGGCTCACCACAGCTTCATATGGAGGAGGTGGATCCAGAGGACAGAATACTTCAACTCCTTTAATTCTAGCTCCATAAATATGTGGCAATGGAATAACATCAGAACTGAGCATTCTAGAAAAAATAATCTTGGTATTATTCTTCTATTCAGTGGGTGCATCTACACAAGACATTTACCGTGGAGTTGCCTAATTAGCTCCTCAGTACATGTCTCAGTGTCTACATGTGTGGCTCTATTAAGCCACAGGAAACTAATAAACTCCACAGCAGGTTAATACATGTAAACACAAGGACTATCCTGCTGCAGAGCTTTTTCATGTGCAGCAGTGCATGTGTAAACTAGACACTGACCCAGCTGGCTGGGGCTCAAGGGTGCTTCGGTGCAGGGGCTGTCTGCCATCTAGTCCTGTACTGGAACACCCTCGCACCCCAGCCAGCCCCTCTGTTACATGTTGAGCTGGGTCACAACAGCCCTGGGCTAGCAGGCTGACCTTCCCAACCCCATGTAAACGTGGCACCCAGGAGCAATAAACTCCAGCACGATAAGTACCAGAGTTTATAGTGTTGCATTAATATGCATGTGTAGATGTGCCCAGTGTAGCTTTCTACCTTCAGAAAGTAACACTGAGCTACAGAATTTCACTGGGTTTGCTGCAGTAAAAGTAAATGAACTTATGGAGAACCAGTATTCAATGGGAAAAAGATCTGGGAGTCTTCCCAAACAGAATGTTGACCAGCACTCTGAAAACAACCTAAGAAGAAACTTACCCCAGGAAATCCACCTCGGCTTTAGTAATGAATCTAGTTCATAAAAGGATAAGCATTTGGGTCCCAAGTAAGCAAAGTGACCTTCTAGACTTGGGCATCTGAAAACAGAAGCAGCCAAAATCAGACACCTTTGTCTGTATGTATGAGTTATGGAAATCCCTTTTTTTTTTTTAGAAAGAAATGTGCTCATACCTTTAATGTCTAAATATAAGCACATAAAAGCAGGGACCTTTAAGCTTAAACTCTCCTTTTGAAACAATTGGCCTTGAGAGTTTGCAGTGAATAATGATACATATAGATATGATTAACAAATCTTATTGTTATCTCATTGTTCAGTTTTTGATGCGTGTCCCCTGAAACCTGAAGTACAATAAATTCTTTTCACACTATGCCTCTCTTACAGAAAACTAAGCCAGGAGAAAATAGTGCAGCTCTATTTTCTGACTGTCGAACCTGTTGTTGCAAATGTCAGTTCTGATTACATGTAATTATCTCACCAAATTTAACATTTGAACAAACAAACATTGGAACTGACATCCAAAGTAATGGTTTCCTGCAAAGCACTGAGGCCAGTCTTTGATGCAGAGATACTGGGTTTTGCAGTCTATACTGAAACCTTAGTTTTAAGCCAATTTTCAGCAACAGTTCACATTTTCTATTTCCAGATTGTGAAAATATATATTTTATATTGCACATAATTATTAAAAAAGGCCACTCATCCTGCCCCACTTACCTCAAACTATATTGGATAGATGATATGTTAATATGAGAGTTTGATCCCAAACCAAAAACCGGTAATCCAAACATTCTCAGACTTTGGGACAGTCCAAATACAATCTCAGCTTCATAGCTTTGGCCATTTTTAGCTGATGTACTACAGAGAAACATGCTGTATGTTTGACCCATTTCTCCTTTCTCCTTAAGTTTAAGGAACTTGTTCAGGCCCAAGGGCTATGAGGGAAATGAAAATACCAAAATATCTTTTTGAAATGTTTGTGAAGAAGCTGAAAGGAGGCTGCAGGGGAGATGGATTAAAGGGTGTTGCAGAGAAGGGCAGAGGAACATAGTCACCTGTTTGCAACTTGGGAGAAGGAAAAGAAAACCAGAAACCAGGTTCAGACTGTTTTTCCTCCCAAAAAGTAACAAACTGTCATTTTGGAGAACTATGGAGGTGAGCATCTCAGGATTATTTTTTTCATTACTTCTGTTTGCTAGAGGTATACAGAATCTGGAAAATTCTGTTTAAATGTCTGCTATGACAAATGAGCACGCACCCCATAGGAACATGCACCCCATGCACCTTAATGAACTTTTCAGTTTTATTCTTTTCTGAAATAAGTTTAATCTGATCTAGCCAGGGTGTTCCTCTACCATCGTATCCAAGATTCTATATTAGGTAACATCTTATTTGGAGGCATGGAATAGAAAAACATAAATCGAAAATTTTTTCCTGTTTAGTTCTTAAGCAGTTCCAAGGAATCATGGGTAATTTGTTAGCTTGTTTGTGATTTTTCAATTTCCATTCTATTTTTAGGGAGGGGAATTCACATGGTAGTGAGTCATGGAGTTTCTATCAGTCTAAGTAAGGAACTGTAGGCGTCATTCGTACTAATTTTTAACCTAAGTTAGGGATGTCAAATTCACTTGGCTCCCTGGGCTTGATCTGGACCAGAGGACATATTGCAGGGCAGATCTAGCAGTGGTGAAGGAGTGAGAAGTGCTGTCAGCTCAGAGAGTCATAAGGATTAACACAGCCATCACACACCTTCTTGCCACCAAAATGCATCCCCAACAGGGTCGCATACCCCAGAATTCAGTGATGGGCCCTGCCCCCACACACCCCACCCCAAAATTTCCAGCCCCTTCAAGAGCCCCACTGGGCTAGATCCTAGCCTAGAAAACCATTTCCTGAACATAAGTTATATCCCTTCTATTCTTCTTTACCAGCAACTACATTATGGTCCAAAAAGTTGCAGTCAGGAGGATTCCCCCAAGGTTTTAATTCTGGGGGCATCAAAACTGACCCAAGTGAGTGCATCAGAAGTAGGGGATATTGACAATTAAGATGTGCCTTTGTGGTACAGTCTAACATCAAATAACATGGCAGTATAAAGCTTTCTGTGAAGAGGATGGCTGAGAGTAGAGAAAAAAGAATTTAAAGCATTTGCAGGGTGTTTTATGGTCAATAGAATCTACTGCTTGAGGGCTATGGTAGAACTGTTCGTTGCTACCTGGGGCGTCAGAGCAAAGAGTTTCCTTTTCCCTCCCCTACCAATGGAAGGAAAGACACCACTCTATACCCCTTCCTCTCCTGCTGCCTAGAGGTTCAACAGATACAAAGCCACACTTGAGACTACTGCCATCATGGGCACATCCAGATGAGTGCGGATGTATGGTATGTGGTGCTACAGACCCATCTGTGGTGCCACACACCGCATATACAGGCATTCTCCACACTGCTACTTTGCAGCATTGGGGGGGGGGGGGGGGGGGCTGTTGGGAGGTGGGGGGGGGGGGGGAGGGGGTTGACACCAGGAGATCCCAGGGTCAAAAAAACCCACAACAAAAAAAAAAAGCAGAGGGCCGTGTGGCAGCGCGCATTGCCAAAAAACAGAGACTTGCCAGTCGGACCTATGCTCTGGATGCCAGCCAGGCTCCCTGCTGCAGAATTGCTGCTGCTGCTGCAGCTCCTGGAGGCCCCCAGGATCCCAGGTAAGGCTGCTGGCCCCAGCCTCCCTTACCCCACCCAGGGTAACCTGCTGTGCACCACAGCATGCATGGTACAGATGCTCCCTGGGGACAAGTAGCAGCAGCACAAAGTGTGCACCGCTACTTGTCCCCAAGGAAACACACATTCCCACTCATGGGGACATGCCCCATGTCTTCAGTTGAACCATGTCATTGGGACTTCATCCTCACAGAATCTTTCAAGTTTTTTGTTAATGATACCATGTCCAATAACCATAAAAATAACAGCAGTCAGCAAGATACAGAGCAGCTAAAAAAAAAAAACAACAACACATGATGGTACTGTTTAAATAAATAGGGTTTTATAGAATCATAGCAAATAGTTCTGGAATGGACCTTGTAAAGTTATCTAGCACATCTCCATGCCCCAAGGCATGAACAACCATACATATATCATTTTGGAGAATGCCTTCAATCACCAATTTAGGTTTCAAGCCAAATGGCAATGGAGTTTCTAGCCCTTGAGCAAGAAGTTCACTACTCAAAATGAACTCCCTCCATTCATCTAATTCATGCACAGCAGAAAAATCCCACCACCTGACTGTTTCTTTTCCAGGGTGTTCTTCCTGTAGAAGCTTCCATAAAATCTATATCAGCTAAGCTGTTATGTAATCTTGAAAAATTACTTAATCACTATATTTCCATACTTTTAAGGAGTAGGATTATAGGTAGGAGTGAAATATAGAGCATCCATAATACTAGTTTGCTGTATGTATGTGCTCTACACTAAATAAAACAAATTAAAAAGGCTTCAGGGATAGCACAGGCCATGAATGAACAAACAAATAAATCCATTGGCTTCATAAGGAGTGGATTTGGCTCTGCAGTTTAAAGGGTGGAGAAGAATATGTGCCTGTTCCAAATGTGTCTTTGGCCTGCATTTTGGTCACTGCCCCGTTTCCTTTCTACTGGGGATGTATCTGGTTTGGAGGCTCCCCAAATGTGCTTCACAGATGGTGTTTCCATCCCTTTAATGTAGTTTCTGAGCTGTTCCCTTTTGTAGAGGGGTAATCTGGTTTTGGAAGATGAGTCCACTGGAATCCCAGCATAGAAAGGCAGGTCACTGCCAATCTTGGCATTAGATGCACAGGCTGGGGAAGGAGAGGGTAATAAAGGAGGAAAGGTTGGATCAAGTCTAAAAATCACACACTGCTGGACGCTATGGATCCAAACAAGGGTGAGTCATATTTCCTAATCTGCCAAGAAAGGAAATTAAATCTGTCTGTTGCTTTCTACTTCTGCACTCAGCACCCTCTCATAATGCACTGTAACTGAACAACAGGTCCTTTAATGTACTGCACACTAACTCCTCTTGGCAGTGACTCATGAAATTACATTCCCATTTTCTGATAGCCCCAAGCCTAATGTAATATCTCTAAAACAGATTAACAGTGATAAAAATATGTTTACTTTCAAAAGCCTTTATTGTACGTACATCAAAATAAAATGTCACTCTAAATTTGCTAAGAGACGTGAAACTCTGTTCAGGAACAATCAACTGAATGGCAGGGGAAGAAACTGCTAATTTATGTCCCGCCCTAATCTGTTGTCATAATTCAATGAATCAAGCCTGACTACCTAACAGACCTATTCCTGTATGGTCATCACACAGCTATGAGGCACAAGGCCTTGTTTCTGTGCATCATATGAAAGACGGCAACTCCAGCAGTACTTAACTAATGTAAAATTAGAGCAATCCAAAGAGGATTTTTCTCTGCAGTATAAATACCTTATCACCACTTCAAAGAAAATATCTCTGAATGTTTTTAACAATTGTGATATCAATTAATTGTTAAACCTATAGTACTGCCTCAAACAAAAATGGGGGTGACACTGTGTTAGAGGCTGTAAGTCTGCAAAGAAATATTCCTACCAGGAAGAGTTTAGCCCCTGAAATGACAAATCAGACAAAGGAGGAAAGTAGTATGATCCTTTTTACAGAAGAGGAACTGAGGTATACAGTGATTATGCTTCCCTGGAGAAGCACATAAGTATACTCTACCCTTGCATAGATCTCTTTTCACTATTAGGGTTTTGCTGCCTTGCTCAGGCTCTCAGATGTCCTAGTCCAGTCTCTTATTCACAAAACCATCACAAAATGGCAATTTGAGACCCAGATTACCATTTACTAGATGAGACATTTTATAGAACCTTGATTAGTGCACTGTCACTGGGGGGTCTGGGAGTCAACCTATATCATTCTCCCTGAAACAATGGAATAAGCTAAACCAGGGGTGGGCAATTATTTTGGGTGGAGGGCCACTTACTGAGTTTTGGCAAGCCATCGAGGGCCACATGACAGGCAGCTAGGGGCAGATAAATATTAATTTTCTAAAATTTTTAGGGGCCCCGTGGGCTGGAAAGAATGGCCTAGCGGGCCACATTTTGCCCACCCCTGAGCTAAACAGTTTCAACTAGCTGGATTCAACTCTGAGAAACAGGATTTTAAAAAAATGAGTAGATGCTAAAGAGAGGGCTAAATTGGACTGCATCAGATTGCATCTAGAAAAGGAAAGCAGTCACAGCAGGATCACTGAAGGCACAACCTCACGGTGATCAGGTAGAACCTCAGGTGAATCCTATGACAAAATAAACTCAACATCTTGGACTGTCATATGTTGCTACGTAGTTGCTGATCATGCAGACTGCTATCCAAAAAATCCCTGGAGAAGTCCCAACATTTACAGATTATAAACACTCTGGGACAGGGACAGTCTTTACTTCTATTTGACAGCCCTTGAAACTGAAACAATTTTTTATGCTCAGGAGAAAAGGACAGATTCTTAGAACTGCTCATTTGGTGCCTACTGCAGCTTAGGAAAGGGCCTGCAACTCTGATTTTTAAGAAGCATCTTACAGTATATGCTGATAGCAAGCTTTACGCAGGCTCTTGCTGGGGGAGGTGGGGGGGAGATAGCAGGGAAGGGTTCCCCAAATCCATTTACACACAACACCCTCTCTCCTGACTTGTCAGGAACCTTATGCTAAAGTCTGAGTGCGGCTCTCCATCAATCTGGTAACCTGTGATTGTGCAGTGAGTACAGCACCAATGAGAACCCAGTAACCTGAGTATGGCTTTGTAGCAGTGCTTACTCACACTGAGGTTAGCTATGAAGCAAGGGCAAATCTTTAGGCCAGTCTCAGTAGCTATGATGGGTAGGCAAGGCAGTCCTGGAACACAAAGGCATTTTTCCCCAGGCACATTCTGTGCACCAGGGGGACAAGTGAGGATGGTTCACAATGCTGGCTGATGTTTTAATATTTCTTTGTGCTCTAGAAGCATTGCATAGCAGTTGAATCTGCCCTTCTGTCTCTGACTTAGCTCAATTAATACTCTTTACAACATCACAGAAGCTCTCAGTCATGCCAAATTACAGTACTTTTCTTACTTTAAAGCAAGCTTCTGTATGATCATAGGCAAAAACTGAAAAATTATGCCCTCAGGCCAGACTGGAATTACAGTAGCTTCACTGTTCCCTAAGCCACCCAGCCTTTCAAGAAAATGGTAATACTTTACAATGAGTTATAGCACAAAAAAATGTTAACGACATGAAGCTATCCAGAACAGACACCAAAAGAGAAAAGATACATCTTTACCTGCGATTCATTCTGGGTGTGCAAGAATAAAATGTTGCAAAATATGATGGAGGTGGCACAGGTGGAACAAACTCTTCAGGATCTGAAACGTGGTGTTGTTCTTCACCTTCCTCTGCAGATACCTGAGATTCATCCTAATCAAATGCAATCTTTGTTAATAAAAACGCTTCTCTTTACCAGTGTAATAAAAAAAGAAACCCACCACCAAATCGACAACATTGCTGGTTTATCATCATCACAATCACTATAATTATTAGACAATGCCTTGCACTCACTTACTATGCATGATCTTCTTGTTGAAAGTATCTGAAGGTAACGCAGGGCAGCTGCTACCAAGCAAACTGTGGTGGTCAGAGCATTCAAGGCGCACAGAGCAAAAAGAACTTTCTGAAGAACAAACAGTTGATGACAATTATAAATCAAAACATCTGCTAATGTCAAAAAAGAGCAAGATGAGGATAGTTTTTAAATCTGTATTTGACTCAGTCTTCCAGCTGGACAATTCCTGTAATATGGCTAATGTCTATGGGCCAACAAGGATCCATTAAATATAGTCCAGATCAGGGATGGTTTCAGGTTTCTGGAAAGTGACTCAAAACCTTCCCAAGCCAGGTGTTCTGGTTCTCCTCACCTGCTCACTGTGGAAAACCTAGCTGTGATAGAATTATTATGATAAAGAATACAAGGGACTTGTCCAGCTACAAATGAATGTTGTCTTGGCTGTTGTGATGTTATAACTGTTGGTAACCCAGGATGGCCTGAGCAAATCTGAACAAATGACAATGGATCACATTCTAAATACCTTAACTAGGTTTTACCTAGTTTACCACTTGCAAAACTGTCTAAAGTCAACTGAAATAGAAAAGTCAAGGTGCAGGTGCTGGTTTTCATTTATGGCACAGGGGTTTATGTGCTGAGCTGCTGGCATAAAGATTGCAAGTTGAAAACTGGGTGTGGACACAGAGACTCTATTGAAAAGTGTCTCTCCAGTGGACCTGAGAAAATGTTTTGCTGGGAAAAGATGGGATCAACCTGACTTCACCTTGGGAGAAAAATCCAGCATCATACTTATAAGCTCAGCGGTGCTACACTCACTAGCACTGCGACCGAAAGAGACTTGGGGGTCTTGATTGGCCACAAATTGAACATGAGCCCCCAATGCAATGCCATGGCTGGCAGAGCAAACCAAACTCTGGCATGCATCCACTGATGCAACTCAAGCAAAACCAGGGACATCATCCTCCCACTTTACTTGGCCTTAGTGAGGCCGCAGCTGGAGTACCATGTCCAGTTTTGGGCCCCCCCCACTCCAGGAGGGATGTAGATAAGCTTGAGAGAGTCCAAAGGTGAGCCACCCATATGATCAAAGGCCAAGAGAGCAAGCCTTATGAGGAGAGGCTGAGGGACATGGAACTCCTTAGCCTGGCAAAGAGAAGGCTCAGGGGGGACTTGGTGGCTGTCTATAAGGGGGATGCATCAGGACCTGGAAGAACACTTGTTCACCAGGGCTGCCCAAGGGATAACTAGGTCTAATGGCCACAAACTTCTAGAAGGCTGATTGGACAAACAACTAGGGAGGAGTATAAGAGTATTGCTCAGACATTCAGGGATGAAGTCAGGAAGGCCAAAGCACAGTTGGAGTTGTAACTAGCAAGGGATGTGAAGGGTAACAAGAAGGGTTTCTACAAGTATGTCAGTAACAAGAGACAGATCAGGGAAAATGTGGGTCCCTTACTGAATGGGGGAGGCAACCTTGTGTTAGAGGATGCAGAAACGTCTGAAAAGGCTCAGTGCCTTTTTCACCTCAGTCTTCACAGGCAAGATCAGCTCCCAGACTACTCCACCAGGTAACACAGTTTGAGGTGGGGAAGGTGAGCAGCCCTCAGTTCTGAAAGAACAGGTTAGGGACTACCTAGAAAAGCTGGATGTGTACAAGTCCATGGGGCTCAATGGGATGCACCTGAGGGTGCTGAGGGAGTTGGCTGATGTGATAGCAGACCCACTGGCCATCATCTTTGAAAACTCATGGCGATCAGGAGAGGTCCCAGATGACTAGAAAAGGGCAAACATAGTGCCCATATTTAAGACAGGGGAAAAAAGGAAGATCCAGGAAACTATAGACCAGTCAGCCTCACCTCAGTCCCTGGAAAAATCATGGAACAGATCCTCAAGGCATGCATTTCTAAGCACTTGGAGGAGAAGAAGGTGATTAGGAACAGTCAGCATTGATTCACCAATGGCAAGTTATGCCTGACCAACCTGATTGCCTTCTATGATAAGATGACTGGCTCTGTGGACATGGGGAGATTAGTGGATGTGGTATACCTTGATTTTTAGCAAGGCTTTTGATAGGGTCTCTTGCAGGCAAGCTAAGGAAGTACGGGTTGGATGAATGGAATGTAAGGTGGATAGAAAACTGGCTGGAGCATCAGGTTAAGAGGGTAGTAGTCAATGGCTCAATGTCTAGTTGGCAGCCAGTATCAAGTGGAGTGCCCCTGGATTCAATCTTGGGGCTGGTTTTGTTCAATGTCTTTATCAAAGATCTGGAAGATTGCATGGACTGCACCCTCAGCAAGTTTGCAGATGATGCCAAGTGGATATGCTGGAGGTTGGGGCTGGGATTCAGAGTGACCTAGACAAATTGGAAGATTGGACCAAAAGGAATCTCATGAGGTTCCACAAGGACAAGTGCAAAGCCTGAGCTTAAGACAGAACAATCCCATGCACCAGTAAAGACTGGGAGCTAACTGGCTGGGCAGCAGCTCTGCAGAAAAGGACCTGGGGGTTACAGTGGGCAACAAGCTGAATATGAGCCAGCAGTGTATCCTTGTTGCCAAGAAGGCTAACAGCATACTGGGCTGCATTGGTAGGTGTGCTGCCAGCACGGCAAGAGAAGTGATTATTCCCTTCTATTCAGCACTGGTGAGGCCACATCTGGAGTAGTGTTCAATTTTTGCACACCCCTCCCCCACTACAGAAAGGATGTGGACAAATTGGAGACAGTCCAGTAGAGGGCAACAAAAACATGGTGAGGGGGCTGGGGAACATGACTTCTAAAGAGAGGCTGAGGGAACTTGGCTTATTAATCTTGAGAAGAGGAGACTGAGAGGGGACTTAATAGCAGCCTTCAATTGTCTGCAGGGGCGTTCGAAAGAGGATGAAACTAGACTGGTTGCACTGGAGGCAGATGACAAAACAAGGAGCAATGCTTTCAAGTTGCAGCAAGGGAAGCTTAGGTTAGATATTAAGAAGAATTTTCTCACTAGGAGGGTAGTAAAACACTGGAACAGGTTACCCAGAGAGGGGGTAGAGTCTCCATCCTTCAAAGTTTTTAAGACAGAACTAGACAAAGCCTTCGCTGGGATGATCTAGTTGGGGATGGTCCTGAGGTCCCTTCCAACCCTAATTTTCTATGAGTCTATGAAATTTTGGCTCCCAAGTACAAAGGATTTCAGAATTTGGCCTCATAATGCTATTCTTAGATTTTTAAGATCTGAAGGGACTGTTAAGATGGTCGGATCTGCTCTTGTTCCTTGGGTACTGAACATGCATGTCTCCCTCTTCACTAGACCAAGAATAAGGAGATAGGAAAAGGGACTTATCAATACCTTTAGCTACAGTCCAAGAAAAAAAACAACAGCTACCAAATTGGAAGCATTTTATGAGGCTAGGGACAGAAGTTATACATAAACCAGTTTAAGTGATCAGAAACTGGTTTAAACCTGTAACAGAACACAAGTTCAGTGCCCTTAAACCACTTTCAAAATAGACAAAACTAGTTTAAGATAACCTGACTGGTTGTAGTATCAGACTGAACTGATTTAGGACATACCAGTTTATGGAATTTCTATCCCAGACCCCTTCCCGGTTCAAGTTAACTCACAGTCCCCCAGACGTTTTGCAGCCGTGGGCTGTGCTGTCTGCTCCAGCAGAGAAGGGTTGGCCCCACCCCTCTGCTCCCTAGCCAGACCATCACTGCTCCAGCTGGCTGAGAAGGGGGTGAGGGTGGGAAACCTGGCTATGAACCCCAGCTGGGGTCTGCCCAACAGGGAAGGAGCAGCCCCTCACAGATTTTTCATCTGCTCCCTGCTTGAGTGGAGGGGTGAGGGGCAAAGCCAGAATGCTGAGGTGGGGGGGAAAGAGGGGGATTTAAACCCCCTTCCCTATTTCTGGACCCCAGTCTGCTCCCCAATCAAGGGGGAAAGAAGGCAGTTTTTGCTGGGGTTTTCTCCTTCACTTCAGTGGAGAGCGGGGGGCATGGCCATGCCCTGACTTGCGGCCTGCATGCTGAAGCAGGGAGAGAGGGGATTTAAACCTCCCTCCCTCTCTGCCAGAGCATGTGAACCTTAAACTGGGATGTGGCCACACCCCCCCTTCACTAAAGCAAGTAGCGAGGGAGGGACAAAAGCCTGGCAGGGGCTGCCCCTCCAGGCAAACCCTGGCTGGGGTCTGGGGTTAGGGAGGGGGTTTAAACCCGCTCCCTCCCCACCTCTCCCTGCAAGACCCTGGCTGGGTTGCAGCCACACCCCCCACTCAAGCAGGGAGTGGGGACTTGGCAGGGGCTGCCCACCTCCCTCAAGGCATACCTGGGCTGAGGTCCCATGCCACCAGGGACGGGGTTTAAACCCCCTCCCTCCCCACCTCAGCCTATGAGTCCCTGGCTGGGGTGTGGCCACACCCCTCACTCTCCACTCAAGGTGGGGGGGCAAAACCCTGGCAGGGACTGCCCCCCACCTCAAGCAGGGAGCAGGGGATAGAAGCCTGGCAGGGGCTGTCCCCCCAGGCAAACTGGGGCTGGGGTCCTGTTTAAGGTTAGGAGGGGGTTTAAATCCCCCTCCCCCGACCTGAGAGTGGCAGCCCCAGGCTGGGGTCTGACCAGGCACCTTTCTCTCTCCACAAGCTGGAGGGCAAAAGCCTGGCAGGGGCTGCCCCCATCAGACCCTGGCCAGGGTCCCATAAGGGACTGGGAGGGCGCTTAAACCCCCTCCCTTCCTGCCTCAGTGTACAAGCCCCTGGCTGGGGCGTAGCCAGGCCCCCTGCTCTCTGCTGGGGGGGCAAAAGTGTGGCCGGGACTGCACCCCCATCAACAGCGAGCAGGGAGGCATAAGCCTGACAGGGGCTGCCTCACTTCCCTCCACCAGACAGAACCCAGCTGGGGTCCCCTGCAAGGCAGGGATGGGGTATAAACCCCTCCTCCCACCCTCTCAGCCTGGGCCCAGAGCAGGGAGTGAGGGATAAGCATGGCAGGGGTGTCCCCCACCACCCCCAAGACACACCCGGGCTGAGATCTCATGCAGGCCAGGGAGGGGGATCTAAAGCCCTCTCCGCTCAAGCAGGGAGTCGGGGGAAAGCCTTGGAAGGCTTCTCTCGTCCCTTCCCTTTGGCAGTGGCTGGGAGGCATGCTCTAGTGCCTCCCAGCTTCTGCCCTAAGCCACTGTAGGTATGTGGCTGCACTTCTGGAATCCAAAGTGAATGTCTGTTCACTTGCTTCTCGGTTCTATCTATGCAGTTTAGATTCACCTGTAAAGACTGAATTGATTTAGTCTCTGGCTTTTTGACTGTCTGTACTTAGCCTGAGAGGAAATAGCTTGGAAGGCAATGAAATTGCCACAGTGCAAAGGGCAATACATTTTAATACTGATTTTCTAATTGTCATGTGAAGATGATCAAGGAATTGATTTTTATGAGGAAGGTACCTTGAGTAGAAGGTGAACAGCACTACATGACTGAACTGGATACAGCTTCAATGCATTCTCTTTCTCTGTGCATTTTGCTGGATGAAATTCTTCACAGCAGAAGCATATCTTACTTTCACCCAGATCCACCTTTAACAGCAAGGGAAAAATGTGAATTACTGTTTAATTTAGGAGGCAATTTTATACTGCATTGCTGCTTAGTATATTGCTAGAGATGTTCTAACCATAGTACAGAGCTAATTACATGCTTAGAAAATCAAATCTGTGTAAGACAGTATGCCAGTGATTCACCCATTATAGAACTGTTAGAGTTGACATACTCATTTATTTATCTAAAAAAATTAGAATTTTATCAATAGACCCTTTTGAATTCACTTTTTATTAAAACACTGAATCACATGGACTTGTTTTCAATGACATCAATGTCTGAACAGTCTCCTTTACTCGTACACTAATGCATTTAGTTTTGAAGATTCTTTTTTGACCAAAATGTAAGCCACATTCTGTATTTGCCACCATTGGGTGGTTCATAGGCACAATATTATACATCTAATTGTATCATGAAACCCAGAGCTATATTTCCATCTCTTCCAACCCAGCAGTGACTATACCAGTGTGCCATTATGATGTTTGCAACTTTCAGGTTCATCTTATCAACTCTATTTATGAGTAAAAATCAAACACATGTTTATTTACTTGTCTATTTATTTATTTTATTTATATAGCCAAGTCTCTGACTATTTTAATCAGCTGCTTACTACTCACAGATCACAACACTGGAAGTATTTGCATTAGTGTATGGGAGATTATACAATAGTCTTACCATTTCAGGAACTTGTAAAGGCTGGAGCTTATGCTTTCATACAGAAATGAGAACTGAGGTTCTCAGTCCAATATTTAAACATTTTGTCTATATTATTATTATTTTCCCCACTTCTTCTCTCAATAGCTAACTGCTTAGGCTGACCTTGACTGCCAAACTGCTTTTAAGCACTGCAGTCTGATTATATTACTCCCATTGGTATGTTAAGAAAGCTCCACTGGCTTCCTGTGAAGCAACAGAGTGATTATTTTAAAAGATTTTCCTACTAATATCCAAGGTCCTCATAAATTCTACCAGGTCACACCCATTTTACCTGTGGGATCTCTTCCATCTTAACATCCTTCAATTACCCTGGCAGTATGGGCTTAAATGCTGGAAAAGATCCAGGAACTGATTTGTTCTTTGGTCAAAATATCCTTTGCAGGTTTCTTGATTTAAGATCCTGGATCAGCATCTCGTTAAAACCCCAGTCCAGAAAAACAATGAAGTATCTACTTAACTTAAAGCATAAAAACGTTAGCATAAAAAGCATATATTTCAGTGAAACAATTCACAGATTTTAAATCAAGCATATGCTTAGGTGCTTTGCTGAATCTAAGCATAAATCAGCATGTATTATTTTTATTTTTGCTATTCTATGGTTGCATTCATATTCTCTTGACATACTGCCTACATTAATCTATATATTAGTATATCTTGGAAGCTAGCAATACCAGCTTGCTATATTAGCTCACCAGATCACATCTGGGTACACTGGATACAAACTGAGCTCCTTGACATCCTAAAATAAATCCAGCCAGGTTCAAAAGGACACAGACGACAGACAGCAAGATGAACAGGTTAACCTGAAACAGAAAAACGCAGTTAACAGCAATGAAAACAAGACAATGAAATACACTATCGGGAAGCTAATGCACTGTGAAACTTGTGGACTGAAATTCTGGCTCCCATGAAGTTAATGGCAATACTACTCCCATTGACTTCACTGAGGGTTGGGATTTCAGAGTGTCACACTAAAAAGTATTTCCTTTGTCAATTATTTTGAACAATAACTTTGTGCAGAACTTGCTATGTCCCCCTTTTCTTCACAACTTTCACAGTAACAGATTATATGCACTACCATTCAGATATAGATAAGTACAGGTAATGTATGCCCTCAACAAAAAAGGTAAGTTTAAAAAATCTGAATGACTTTTGAACCAAGTTTTTAACATTATTTTTTCTACTGGCAGATAAGAGATGTTCAGATGGTTCCTGTAAATTGTTAAACACCCCTGGAAGGCCAGCATCTGACTAGATGAAAGATGGTCCTGCAGGAGCAAAGCATGAGATACAGAGTTCTTGACTCTACTTTGTATCAGTCTCTCAGCTCATTTTCATTTTTTGGAACTCTGAGGCGGAAACATCTTGAAGCAACATTTATCCAACAGAGGCTATTTGTAAAATTATTTTTCAGTACAAATGCTTTAAAATAACTGAAATAATAGAACGAGGGCACAGACACAATCAAAGGATTTAAATTATAATATTTTATTTCCCCTTAGCTACTAAAAATAGAATCCTGCTCTTCCCATAACAGACAATGCTTTTTGGTTTGCAAAACAGTCCTGACAGACTCGCAGTACCATGAACAACAGGGCACCAACAGAAGGCAAGTAGGAGTGGTAGGTAAAATAATAAAGTCCTTCTATTGTCCTATGTTCTCAATATCCTTTGCGAGTGCCCAGCATGAGACTCAATCAATGAGGATTAAAACATAGTATTAGATGTTTTACTCTGCTCAGGTAGAAAACACTATATTTTAGGAGTTGCAGTATTTTCACTTTGCTCTGTTCATACCATAAAACCATGATGATGATAAGATAGTTCACATCCCTAGTCCATTATATCATATTTTCCCCTCATGAATACCGAATTGATTTAAATATTTCTAAGTATTCAGTTATTAAAAGCAAAGTTCAATCAATACCCACTTCTTGCACTTTCAGGAAGATTACCTCAGTTACCTTGACACACAGAAATAACTCAAGAGCACATTAAAGTGCCCACACGCATCTCATGCTAAACATGCTTTCCAAGTCCATTCACTCTAATACACCATCCACTTAAACCCTAGTCAGTTAAATGGAGGAGTCAAACGTACTTTCCTGTAATATACTTGACCTTGAGTCCACCTATGGTCTTGCAATTGCACTTTCTTAAAACATTTTTCTCTCCACTTGTCATGTGAAAAATTCCCGTAAATGACAAGGGAAACGCACTTAGTCTACATCTGAATTAAAGAAACTACAGAAAACCCTCGTTTTTTGTGAACTCCGGGAGGTGGACAAAGAGCAAGCGCTGGGGACATGGAGGGAGGCGGTGGCGGCAACATCTTCTCCCATGGCGGCAGCCACGGCGGCGCTCACGGGGAAGGGGTTGGTCCCCAGGCGCTGTGGGGGAGCCCTGCGAACAATGTGGGGTAGAGCAGGGGGGAGGTGTGGGGTCTGACAGGGAGCCCCATCAGTATTCGCGGATTTCACCATTCACCATTCGCAGGGATCTCTGGAACGTATCCCGCACGAGTGGCAAGGGTCTCCTGTATATACAAAGTGATATCAAATACACAAAGTTAAAGCAAACTAAGAGATATAGAAAAATATCAAACCCATGTACATTTTCCAATTCAATAAGTTTATAAAAATATTAAAATTTTTAGTAACCTTTTCAGTCATAAATCTCAGAAAATTTAGGTAGCAATATTTCCTTTTAATTGGTGGGAAAACTGGGGCTAAGACCCTAAGGAAGCAATATTCACATTTCCCTTGAATTCAGAAACTGTTCCACACAGAAACAAAAACATTAAACTGTATCTGGATGGTCCATGAAGCAAAATACAAAGAAAAATAGGGGCATCTCTACACTGCCTCTGTGGCAAGCCCAGGAACACCCTCCAAGAAGCACAACGGCCTACTTAGTCCCATTCAGTACATGTTAGTACCCAGAAACTAGGCACTGTAGTAACACCCTGAGCATGCTTCGGTAGCTGCTCTCAGTTTAAGGCCCCCTCTATTCATTACAAGTATCATGCAATTAACTGGTTAATTGTGCAATTACCTTAAGACCAGCTATACAGGCAAAATAGCTATCACATGATAAAAAGCTCCAACCAACTGTAAAGTTACACCTCAAAAATGTGTACTGACTTTACAGCTGGTTGCTATCAAGCTTTAATTTGCATGTGTAGCAGGATCTCCCCTGTGGCTGGGGGCCCCATCAGCTGACAGATCTCCCAGATGCAGGGATGCACTGTGCCCAAAGTGAAACCTCTGAGTGCTGGGGATCACGGCTACCAGGATTGCCAAGGCTCAGGGGTGCGTGAAACCCCTAGCTCACATGGGGCTCTCAGTCCTGCTGTACATGGCCCCTGTGGCTGGGAGACCCATTAGCAAAGGTGGCTCCCAACTGTGGGAGCCTGCTTCTTGCCAGTGCAGGGGGAGACCAAGATCGGGCTCCCCCAACATGGCATTAAGGCACAATTGATTCTAATGTGCAATCCCCCAACTGTGCCTCCTACCATGCATGTTTGGCATGGCATGAGGTATGATTGTGTGGATCATACATTAGATCCAGTAGTGCCTTTACCTGCACATGTACAGGGGTCCTGAGGTGTGCTGCTTACTGCATGTTCAAGGATGTGTTTAACTGGCCACACTGCCTAATTTCCAAACTGCGGTGTGTCCGGCATACATCTTGGTGGCACTTCTGGGCTCACAAGATAGTCCAAATGTGCCCTAGGACTCCTAGTGGTTTACAAACCAGAAGAAATTCCTGTTTTAATTTCCTGGAGAAAGTAATGGACTTGCCGCTCCTCACAGTACTAAAATCTGCCTTAATACACTGACCTTAACTTCCTGATTCCACAATCATAGACAATGCCAATGATCCATTAGTACTGTATTCAGTCATTCAGTCTGCATAGATTCCAGGCAGCTCATGCACGATGTGCTGACCCATCAGATCTTAGTAAAGTAAAGCTTAACCCTTTCTTCTTTACATCAAATGCACTGATCTAGAAACTCGACTAATGGTTTACATTGCTTAAAAAAATGAATTATGTAATTGGTCAAAGCTGAACTTAACTAGGACTATGCACCCATACAAAAGAAAAAAATGGAATAAGGGTGCCCCTTACACACGGTAGCTGGCTAGGCCATGTTTCTGGTAGCATAAGCCAGCACCCAATTAATTCCTCCATCCTAGGGAGCAACAGGAAAACAGGGAAGGACCTGTGATTCAAAAGTGTGTTTCGTAACGGAACAATACCTTTTGCAGTTACTCCTGAGGGGGCAGAGTTTACACACCATCTTTTTTTGCAGCCATGCCTTAAAGCTGTGGTTCTCACCCTTTATAGACTCAGGACACCCTTTGTCAGACTCAAGACAACCCCTAGAAAATACCTCAGCTCTTAGTTATCATACATTTTTCTGATTACAGAAATATAATAGAGCTATTTTCTGTTGCACATAACTCACAAGGACAACAGGTCAGAATATTTTTAACAGTGTGGATCCTATTTGAAATATCAGGGTTTATTTTGTGAATCACACTGAACACCTAACAGTGCTAACACTGCATGGCACCCTGTGGCACCCCCTGAAAGGGTCTCAAGGCATCCCAGGGTGCTGCAGCACACAGATAATTACGGCCTTAAAGATACAACCTACCTTTTCACAGATGTTTAAACCTATTCTCTTCAAGTTAGTTATCTATTACCAAAATCAAGAAAAACTGGGTATTCATGCTATGAGGAAAAATTCAAGTCCATATACAACTTAGGCAAATTTATTTGAATCAGCAAGAGTTAACATATGGAAGACACTGACAAAGATAAACAAGCTATTTTAAAAATCAAAACAGACTGGAATCAAGCTTTAACTGCAATGATAAAAATAGAAGTAGGGCAAATTCTGGCTTCAGATTCATATCCAATCTGGCCCACTGCCCTTAATCTTTTTAGCACTAGATAGGTCTGAACTGTAGTCAGCTGTAAAAAGTCCTGTGGAACATCTGTGTGAATTAAATATGCGAAAATAAAATATATATAATATTAGGCAACTTTGTTATTTATTAATTCCTTACTTAGATGATTTTTCAAGCAAAAATATATCAAGCACATAAAGAATCTAGGCTACACAATCTCAGTCAGTGAGGCTAGTCCTATTTCTGCTGAAGTCAATGACTGCTTTATCATTAGTTTCAATGGAAGCAGAAACAGACCAAGTGACAGAAATGTAACCTACAAGACAAGGCCTTTTCCCTGCGATACTTTCTACACAGACTGATGTGTCTCATGGTGCCTCACTGACTTCAAAGCAAAATCAGACCCAAATAACACTTTAATAGTATATGGAACAAAAACGCTTATTTCATAATCATTAACTTTTATATATATCAGCAATAGTTTATAACCACCATTTTCAAAAAACAAGTCAATGCATTAGTTTCCTTCAGACACACAGCTGCTATACCAAACTAACCACTACATTTTATGACCTTGCTAATTTTCCATCAATCAAAAGAGCTATTGATTGCACCATATGGAGATTTGTGATACAACTCATGACCAAAAAATCATTTAAAAGCGCAAAATAAATGAATTTATTTAAAAAGTAATATTCTGCCTTACATTAGATGCAACAGCAAGTCTCAGGAAAAGCTTTTTCATTTAGAATAATTTGAGGATATAAAAACAAAAAAGCAGGAGGGGGAAATAAATGCAAAATAGTTTTAGAGTGCCTCTTATACATGTTAAAAATATAGATTATTACATAACAGCTCTGGGATTTTGTTGAGAAAGGTGGCA